TGTACATCTGACAAAACGATACAAAAAAAAGAAAAGAAGAAGAAGAAACAGAGAAATAGACAAATTCGCTCTCCGATACAATGTTCCAGGTCTGGTAAATAGTTAGAAATATACGGAAAGAAAAGAATATACATACATATATATATATATATATATATTTAGAAAGAAATACACATACACACAATAATACATTGTCACATACAACAAACAATATATAATGCATACTAATTCAATCAAGATATGGATCACTTCTCATAGATCATTCTCTTTGACATTTCATTTTTTTATTGTTTTCTAGTCTATTCAGATTTTTGAAAATCCTATGAAGAAGATAATATTAAAAAAACATTGATATGCTCCAGGACAACAGACATCGAGGAAGGACATCGATTATCAACCAGCTGGCTAAGATTTTCAATATTCTTGTCAGCTGTAACCCTGGACAAAAAAAGAATGCACCGAGGCATTTATCTTCATGTATTATTGATGTACTGCTTTAAATTAATCAACATTATTTTTAAATATGGAAATTAGTTGTCAAAATAATAAATTTCATGATACTTGTTTGTTAAGTAGTTGACTAGTATATAGAATAGATATTCTGAAGGCCAAAAATTTGCTTGATATTACCCATTCATTTCATGCGTAAACATCTGGTTTCTTTTTGTCTTAGCAATTGGGAATATGTTACTTGTTATGCATAGAAAATAAATGTAAAATTAAGATCAACATATTTGACAACTAAACTCAACAATTACTATAACAAGAATTATTTTGTTAACGTTATTTTTTTTTTGGATTTCATAATTTATATATAGTACATTTAGTGCAAATCAAGTACATATATAAAATAATACGCGTAGTAAGCCATCAAAATATAAATAATGATCTTGTCGTCACGTGGTTCTAACAGTTATAAAAAACAAAGAGATATGAGTTGGAAATATTAATGAAAATTACGTTAAAAATAGTCGAAAACGATTATATTGACAAGAAATATTATATTATGGGGATATACATATTTTTGTATATAAATGGAATGTAAGAATGCTTCCTAATTTCTAACTGATATAAATAAATTCCATACGAAAAAAGATGAGGTCAATGTAATTGTTGTTCTCTCTTTTCCATCTATTTTCATATAATAGAACTGAATTCTCTATATACTTTTCAATTTTTAACTCAATCATTTCTTGGTCAGAAACAGATCCATACAAATGTTTATTTAAATTCGTTTAATTTGTAAGTTTACTGATAAATCTATTAAAAGCTTTTTTTTCGCCGTAATACAATTACAATAGCATTAGCTTTTATTAGATTCTACGTTATATTTGAAATCATAACTCAATTAAATCTTTTATCTACTAAGAATATTTCTAAAAATAAACAATTCTATTCATACGTCAACTACATTCGACAGAAATAAATAGTAATTAATCATACTATATAGAATAAACGAATGCATTTATATTAAAAAAACACATTGATTTTCAATGAATTTTTCTATTGTTTGTAAGATTTACTGAAAAACAAGGTTATATTATATTTTTTTCAACTAACAAAACAACAATAATATTTTGTAGGAACTTCTATAACGTAATATACGTCCTACATTCTTATCATAATGATTCTGTTGAAATCATGTTATTTATGATATGTAAATATCACCAACCAATCGATCATATTGTCATTTGAATAATATCCACCATTCCATATGAGATATTCCATCAAAATAGTAGAGTATTTTATCTACTCAATGACCTGAACTTGTCCATCCCATAACATATGAAGTATCAAATAATATTTAAATTTTTTTCTTTACTTTGCACTATTTTGTATTATCTATTTAAGTACAGAATGATCTGATATACTCGACGTGGTCAAATACAATCTCACAATAAACATTGCTATATCCTTCTCTGGAAATAGCCTACTTTTCTTATTTTTACACTAACTGTATAATTATATAAAGTTACCTAAATAATTTTATGTGAAATAGTAGTTTAATAAGTATTGTTGGGTTTTGTTTGAATAGTATCCTCATCAGCTTAAAACAAAAATATTTATTATGATAATGATGTGAAAAGACTTCATGAAAGTGACATGTTCATGAAGACTTAACCAACTAAGAAATTTTCATTTTTAATTAAATAAGATTCCCGTCCCAAAAGGAACAGGAGTGGACCAAACTCGACGGCACTGCAGTGTCGAGATGATCCGTGGCACGGGTCCGAGTGAACTCGGGTGATCCCGGCCGAGGTCCAAAAATCCGCTTGAAAGAGCCTGGCCCCAATGGGACCAGCGCCGGCTTTCAAACCGACGAGAACAGATACTACACTTTGATCTTAGCCGAAAAGGCCGAGAAGCGATAACTATTTAAGATGCTAACAGCGCACGATACCTCCCGTGTCTTTACACATTTTATATGATCATTGTAGGAAAGTAAAAGAAATAATAATAACCATGTGCGAATAAAAAAAAAAACAAAATGTACTTAATACAGTTGTTTATATTAAGTAGTAAATTGTTATTACGAAAGATATAGTTGAAATGACGAATTATTAGTAATAGATTGGCTTTTTCCATTGATAATAATTAAACAATAACAAACTGCCAGCCTATAAAAATGTTTATGATCAATTTTATTTTTTCCATTTTATTTTCGTCATAACAAGACTTGATGATGAAATCACTTTTGGAAGTAAATGTGTCGTTCGTTGTATTTCATCCTGCTGTACATGGTATTTGTACGAACAGAAGTAAGATGTTGCTTCAAAAGGTAAAGAATTCAAACTGCTTATTACAAACTTATCAAGAGATTACTGTTTTTCTCCTGTTACGCCCATATATAGTTGTTTTTTTTTTCGGTCACTATATTTTATAGATAATTATTTCATATAGAAGCTTTTATAATGGAACAAGTACCTGAATCTTCGTCTCAAACATTAATAATTAATAATAATGGTGGTAGTACATATTCAGCAGGTGGGGAATTAGTTAATAATTTGGCTTCTTTAACAATAAATAGTGATATAACTCCACAACCAACAAATGATCAATTATTTCAAGATTATTCCACTACAGAGCTAGGCGATATACACGTACCCGAGTACGATATTGCTCGTACTCATACTCGTACTCGAAGGGTCGATACTCATACTCGTACTCGAAGGGTCGATACTCATGCTCGTACTCGAAGGATCGGTACTCATGCTCGTACTCGAAGGATCGGTACTCATACTCGGAGGGATGGATACAAGAGACGGGCCGTACCCACCCATGTCTGTTCCACTAATATGGCAAATGAATGGGATCCATTAACATTTAGTGATTGGGATATACAAATGCCGACTGCAGTTTGTATAACACGAATCAAATGTGATATTTCAAATATATTTAAAGATCCACCACCAGGAATTTTTATTTCACCTGATTCTGATAATCTTACTAAAATACATGCTCTTGTCATTGGTCCATCGGATACACCATATCAAGGTGGTTTTTTTT